CTGTCCATTCGGAAGAGTGGGGTGTTGAAATCTCCTACTATTAGTGTGTGGGTTTTGATGTGTGATTTAAGCTTCAGTAATATTTCTTTTACATATGTGGGTGCCCTTGGATTTAGGGCATAAATGTTCATGATTGAGACTTCATCTTAATGGATTTTTCTTGTGGTGAGTATGAAGTGTCCCCCATCTCTTCTGATTGATTTTAGTTTGAAGTCTACAACAGCTTGTTTCTTGGGTTTATTTGATTGGAAAAATTTTTCCCAACCCTTTACTCTGAATTAATGTCTGTCCTTGAGTCTTTGAGGCTGAGGTATGTTTCTTGTACACAGTGGAAGGATGGATCCTTTCTGTTAGCCTGTATCTTTAGAGGTGAATTGAGTCCATTGATATTAAGAGATACTAACGACAAGTGATTGTTAATTCATGTTATTTTTTTGATTGTAGTGTTTGTGTGTTTTCCTTCTTTGGGGTTTGTTGATGTGAGGTTATTTATTACCTGTGTCTTTTTGGGTGCAGTTAGCTTCCTTGGGTTGGAGTTTCCCTTCTAGTACTTTCTATAGGGCTGGGTTTGTGAATAGGTATTGTTTAAACTTGGTTTTATCATTAAATGTCTTGTTTTTTCCATAAAAAATTATTAAAAGCTTTGCTAGGTATAGTAGTTTGTGTTTGCATCCATGGTCTCTTAGTGTCTGCAGCACATCAGTCCGGGACCTTCTGGCTTTCATGGTTTCCATTGAGAAGTTGGGTATAATTCTGGTAGGTCTTCCTTTGTATGTTACTTGGCCTTTTTCCTTTGCAGCTCTTTATATTCTTTCTTTATTCTGTACATTTTTTGTTTTGATAATTATATGGCAAGGGGCCCTTTTTTGGTCCAATTTATTTGGTGTTCTTTAAGTCTTGTACCTTTATCGGCATATCCTTCCTTAGATTGGGAAAGTTTTCTTCTATCATTTTGTTGAATATACTTTCTGTGCCTTTGAGTTGGAGTTCTCCTTCTTCTATCCCAATTTTTCTTAGGTTTGGTCTTTTCATAGTGTCCCAGATTTCCTGGTTGCTTTGTTTTAAAATTTTGTTGGATTTATCATTTTCTTTGACCGATGAAACTATTTTCTTTGTAGTATCTTCAACATTTGAGAGTCTCTCTTCCATCTCTTATATTCTGTTGTTTATGGTAGCATTTGGTAGTTCCTGTTCATTTATCCAGATTTTCTATTTTTAGAATTCCCTTGGTTTGTGTTTTCTTTATTGCCTCTATTTCAGTCTTGAATTGTTTTCTTCAACTGTTTGATTGCTTTTTTTTTCTTATTTTTCTTGAGAGATTTATTGATTTCTTCCAACTTTTTGTTTGTCTTTTTCTCTATTTCTTTAAGGGAATTTTTCATTTCTTCTTTAAGGGTCTCTAACATCTTCATAAAGTTGTATTTAAAATCATCTTCTATTTCTCTTGGTTAGGATGATCAGTTCTCCCTGTTGTATGAACACTGGATTCTGGTGTTATCGAGTTGCTTTTTAGATTGTTGAAAGAATTTTTGCACTGGCTCCTACCCAACTCTTCCTCCAATTGGTGCTGGTAGTGTCTTTGCTTCTTGGTCCAATCCTTGCCGTTGCTGTCTGTGTCTTAGGGAGCTGCTCTTGGTCTTCTCTGTGCGGTCACTGCCTGTGTCTCAGGGAACCACTGAGGTCTCTCTTGGCCCGCTCTCTTGGTTCACTCTGTTTAGCTGCAGCCTGTGATTCGGAGTTCCTCTGAGGTCGTAGGGAATGGGTGGGTTTTGGGGCAGAGTGGGCCTTATAGCTTACAGGGTTCGATCAATGAAGGAGGGCAGTTAGAGCAGACTACCTGCAGGAAGCCTGCCTGCTGGCCGGCTAGTGAAACTGAGGCAGGTGGGCAAGGGGCCCGGAGTTTTGGCCCCGGTACTGATGGCCTAGACAGTGGGGTGCCCAACTGGCTGGCTGATCACTCACCTCTTGATCTGCTCTGTGCAGCTGCAGCCTGTGCTTCAGAGTTCCTCTGAGGTCACAGGGGATGGGTGGGTTTGGGGGAAGAGTGGGTCTTGTAGCTTATAGGGTCCGACCGATTGGGGGACATTGTTGGAGCAGCCTACCTGCAAGAAACTTGCATGCTGGCTGGCTAGTGAAGCTGAGGGAGGTGGAAGAGGCCCTGGGATTTTGCCCTGAAAATTTTTAATTTTTATAACAATAGTAATTATTATTATAAGAAGAAGACTTAAAAAGCAGAAAACTCTACCATTTGCAAAAACAGATGAACTTGGAGGATGTTACACAAGACAGGTAGAGAAAGATGGTTCCCACACTGTGATAATTTATGTGCAATCAGAGAAAGTTTCAGTTTAGTCGGCACATAGTTGATGATGCCAGAGAGTGATGGCAAGAGTTCCAGTTTGGTGAAACCGCAAGCAACCCTTTGAGAGCAGGGGAAGGTGCTGGAAATCGACCACACCGTTTGATGACTACACGAGCTGCAAACAGACCTTTGAGAGCAGAGGAAGGTGCTAGAAATCGGCCACACTGTATGATGACCACACTTGAGCTGCATATTTCAAAACTGCTCAGTTTAAACTTCAAATTTTCTGATGGCAAAGAACAGCAGCAGAAACCAATGAGTGCTTGCTCAAGTGTAAAAGCCTTTGTGAGTGAGGGTCCGGGGTGAGTCTTAGTTCACAGTCAGACTCAGGTCTCGGTGAACTTGTACTCCAGAGCTCAGGCTGTTCAATATAAATAAACACAGCTTCTATTTGTCAATAACATAACTAAGATGATGATAAAGGGAAGAGTTGAATATCCACAAAAATGGCACTCTGTTGTTGAAAGGACTCGCCTCCATGAAAATGATACCGTGCTGTTGGAAGGAGCAGTCTCTAGCAGTTCAGGACCTGAAGGGAGCTGGAATCAGAGGACTACTCAACTGACCTTTCTATCTGAGGGAGTAAAACTTAATTCTACAGGTGGAGAAAATGGGGAAACCACACACACACACACACACACACACACACACACACACACACTGAGGGTCTCACTGTCATCTCTTTTATTTTTTCAAATATCTTTTTAAAAAGTTGTTTTTATTGAGCTACATATTTTTTACTCTTCCCCTTTTCCTCCTCCCCCCCTTCTACTCTTCCCCAAGATCCCCATGCTCCCAATTTACTCAGGAGATCTTGGTTTTTCTACTTCCCATGTAGATTAGATCCATGTATATCTCTCTTAGGGTCCTCTTTGTTGTCTAGCTTCTCTGGGGTTGTGAATTGTAGGCTGATTTTCTTTGCTTTATGTTTAAAAGCCACTTATGAGTGAGTATGATATTTCTTTCTGTGTCTGGGTTACCTCCCTCAATATGATGTTTTCTAGATCCATCCATTTGCACACAAAATTCAAGCTATTGTTATTTTTTTCTGCTGTGTAGTACTCCATTGTATAAATGTACCACATTTTTCTTATCCATTCTTTAGTCAAGGGGCATTTAGATTGTTTCCAGTTTCTGGATATGACAAACAAAGCTGCTATGAACATAGTTGAGCACATGTCCTGTGGAATGACTGCGCATCCTTTGGGTATATATCTAAAATGGGTATTGCTGGGTCTTAAAGTAGGATGTTTCCTAATTTTCTTAGAAATCCCCATAGAGATATCCAAAGGGGCTGTATCAGCTTATATTCCTACCAGCAATGCAGAAGTGTTCCCTTTATCCCACATCTTCTCCAGCATAAGTTGTCATCAGTGTTTTTGATCTTGACCATTCTGTCAGGTGTAAGATGGAATCTCAGAGTTGTTTTGATTTGCACTTCTCTGATGATAAGGATGCTGAGCATTTCCTTAATTGTCACTGCACCTCCTCCAGGAGGGCCCTTCCCCTTCACTACAGCTTTGGTCTAATGTTCCCTGAGGTTCAAGATTGACATGGGTGTGATGGAATGTAGGGAGGGGGGATTTGGTGGAGCAGAGGTCACTGGACATGTGCACCTGAAATGGTTCATGGGACCCTGGCTGTTACCTCTGTCTCTTCTGCCTCTCTGAGCTTTCATGGGATGAACAGGCCTCCACCCCATGTTCCCTCCACCGTGGGCTGAGACACCACAGCATGGCAAGGACACAGGACCATGAAACCTATGAAATCAGGAGCCAAAAGCAACCTTTCTCCTTGTGAACTGTTTTCCTCGGGCATTTGGTGACAGACACAGGCACATTCTTCTTCCAGTTGTCCAGACCCTAATGGGGCATGTTCTGAGCAGACCAGCCTTGGGATTCTGTTAGCATGAATCCCAGTCATGGCTCTGCCTCTCTCAAAGGCTCTTGTTTCTTTTTTTTCCATCAATAAGAAATTTACTTATTTTTTAAAAATCCAAATGCAGGCATTGTCCAGAAAATTGTGACAATTTTATTTATAACTGCTATGAAGATGAACTGTTGAAATGTGTTCATGCAAACTTTCTGCTTGCATTAATGCTTTGCATCGTGCATTTATAGTAAAAAGTCACACACAATGTAAATGAAAAAACCGCCAGTACCTGATTTCTGTTCCCCATTTTTACACTCACAAACATATATTTGGGTACCTTCTGATCCCATGGAAAAAAAAAATATCTACCATCAGAATTACTGATAACAGGAAGAAGAGGAAAAAAATTTTGAGGATGTAATGTTTCCCCTCATAATAGACTCTGTTTTTGTTTTGTTTTGTTTTTATTTTTGTTTTGGTTTTTTGTTTGTTTGTTTTGTTTTTTGAGACAAGATTTCTCTGCTGCTTTGGAGCCTGTCCTGGAACTAGCTCTTGAAGACCAGGCTGGCCTCGAACTCACAGAGATCTGACTGCCTCTGCCTCTGCCTCCCGAGTGCTGGGATTAAAGGCGTGCGCCACCACTCTTAAGAGCATTCTCCACAAATGCGGCGTGCTAGCTAGGTATCTTTTGGCATAATTGTTACACATTTGCCATGGATAGCACACAGGTTGGTATCTTCAAAAGATCCAACCAGATAGGCCTCACTTGCCTCCCGCAAAGCACCAATAGCTGCACTCTGGAAGCGCAGATTTGTTTTGAAGTCCTGAGCAATTTCTCGCACCAGACGCTGGAAGGGGAACGTGTGAATCAAAAGTTCACTGTATTTCTGATAGTGTCTGATTTCACAGAGTGCCAGTGCCAGGCCTGTCAGAATGATGTTTCTTTACCCCTTCAGTAGAGGGCGCACTCTTGCGGACGGCTTTTGTAGCCAGTTGTTTCCTGGGTGCTTTAACACCGGTGGATTTTTGGGCAGTCTGCTTTGTACCAGCCATGGTATGGGCACCTCCTTACTTACTCCCTCCCCCTTTCTCCTTGGGCAGGAGCTCGGCAAGCCAGAGGCATCGCTGGCCTCAGAGAACTGCAGCAGGCGGGGATGGCTGAGAACACAATTTGGCTCTTGTTTCTTACCATGCACTATAGATTAGCATCTTCCCTCTGCCCTCCCTCTGCCTCCCTCTGCTCTAAGTCTTCCTGTGAGTACCACACTGTAGGCCAACTTCTGCCTCTGAGCGATTGCGCACACTCTCCCCAGTCCATCTCCTTGAAGCATCTTCCTCCACAGACTCAAAGAGGCGCCTCCTCTTGCCCTGAGAGCTTTCCAGGCATCCTGTCCCTGTCACCAGCTCCTCTCTTGTCTGCACACTCACATCTCCTGTTGACAAGTCCCAGTTCACTGCATATTTTTATTCCTGTTCTCATCTTTATATCAGTCAGTCTTTGGTAACAGAAACGGGAGTGGTTCTGTGTCCTGAGGCATGCTGGGCACTCATGAAAATGGTCCATATGTAGTAATAGTCACTTGTGCACATGGCCTGAGAGGCATGACAAGCACATTGCCTACCCAGAGTAATGCAGCTAAAGGCTGGGGTGCTCAGGTTAGGGAGAGAAGGGAGAGGTGGGGAAGGGCTTTGAGGTGTGGAGACTCACAAATACACATTTTCCAATAAAGGGGGCTGGGAAGGCAGTGCGAGAAACTCATGACGCAGTGACGGGAGAAAACGGGGAGGAGTCCAGCAGCACATGGACCACGCAAGCCCCTGCTGCACTCCGTGATGTCTGCCCAGCTCCATCTATGGTGAAAATTCAGCATTGCTCAGGAAGTGGAGGCAGTGGGTGACGATTGCATCTGGAAGCTCATTCTGAGGGCAGTGTCTGGAACATGGAGATAGTGGATGAAGGGAATTCTGTGACTAGGAATATTTGGGGATCAGAGATGGTCAGAATTCAGGTAGGGAAATAGGTATGGGTGACCCAAGGTGAGGAAAGGGGGGAGAGGAGTAGAGAGGTAGAAAGGGAAGTAGGCCAGGTGGTAGTTTATGGCATGAGGGTGGAGACAGCTCATGGTAGAGACCCACCAATGGATCTGGGTACAGATAAGACCAGGAAAATCATGTGATTGGCATGGACAAGGGTTTGAATGGGATTGGGCGGCTGACCCGTGTCCATGTTGAACCAGGCAGGTTACTCTGTGGCCATTAAAAAGGAGGATCCCAAAGAAAATGAGACAGATCTACTCCACTTACCCGAGAACTAACTGATGGTCGTGTCTGAATAGTCCCTGTACACTGCTGCCCTTGCTGTCTTCTTCCACGAGATCTCAGTCTGAGGGAAGAGTCCAGGGCCTTCTCAGAGGACACTCTGGCAGCCACCTCACTGCCTACAGTTCCCTTACTGCCCCACACCACAGACCATTTCTAGTGCTGCAGGACTGAGACATCAGGTGGTTGACTTCCTCCCTCAGGGTAGCACTCACCTGAGGACAATGAGGCACAGCCCAAGAAGCAGGACTTTAATAGTAGCCTCTACCACAGCCACCAGAACCACTTCTGCCATCAGCCCTGATTTCCCTGCAGAAATGTGGTCAGTGCTAGCATCACGGGCTAACCACCACCCAAAGACCTTTCTCTCTCAGTAGGATCAGGTCCTCTAAAGACCCCCTCATCTCTGAACATAAGACCATATGATCCCAGGAGTACCCCACCTTACACCCTGACTATCCAGACTCTGAACCTCAAGCACAAGGGTGTGCATTGATGGGAAGAAGAGCAGGGCCCACTCTCTTTCCTTGCTGTTGAGTGGCTAAGGACCCTGACCCTCCTGAAGGCAGGGGTCACATTAGCAGTCCCTTGACACTCACGCTTTAAAAACAGAGACGTGTGCTGATATCCGAGAACGTTCTGTGCGGTGCAGGTGAATTTCCCTTCATATCTCAGGTGCTCTGGGGACAGTTCTAACAACCCAGGAGTCGAGGGCTGTATGGGACTCAGAATGATGTTTTCATGGACCCAGTTCAGCCTGGCAGGAGGGTTACTGTCAACAGTACAGGCTATATGAAGGGTCTGTCCTTCCAGCAAAGTCAGTGTGGAGCCGTTCCTCAGGGCTGTGGGTGCTGGAGAGGAAGAGACATGGAGTCATTAGTGTCAGAGAAGTCAAGAGGAGAAAGAAGGTCACTGAAGGAGATAGGATACCTGTCCGTGTGGATTCAGTGAAACAGGTACAGATGCAGGCAGACCCTCTGATGAGTCCCACCCCACTCTCTTTCTCTCCCCACCCCCGCTCTGTGTGTGTGTGTGTGTGTGTGTGTGTGTGTGTGTGTGAGAGAGAGAGAGAGAGAGAGAGAGAGAGAGAGAGAGAGAGAGAGAGATCTTTTTATTGTTTGGATAACTTGTGTGGAAGGGGCCTTCTGACGGTTTTTGAGTTTCCCAGATCTTATAAGTTCCAGTAGCTTCATGAGTCTTGAGCCTCCCTTCTCCCTCCACGAGGGAGTGTTCTGGTCTGGAAGAAATCACATCCTAGGCGCTGTGCATGTTGTGGTCCAGGAGTGCTTGCTGGAGGAAGGATATCTGTCTAGCTCTGCACAAAGGCATGAGTGAGGGTCAAGCTTGAAGCCAGAACATGGTGAAGGCGGAGGAGGACAGAGAATGCAAAGCTGCACAAGGCGGAAAACATCAGAAAACACCGGAACGACTGGGGTTTAATGGAGAATGTGGACAAGGTCAGTCTTCAGAAGGTCAGACATGAAGTGGTGTGTGTGTGTGTGTGTGTGTTTCAATAAACTCACACGTGGAAATCATAACATGTGTCTGGGTAGGCCAATATGACTATAGAAAATTCCTTCTGATTTCTACAAAATACTGCGTTTCATGAAAAGGGATGAGGATAGTGTGAAATACATTTTCATTTCAAAAGGAATTAATGATTCCTTTTGGCCAAGATTAAATAATTTGAATAATTAAATAATAAAAGTGAATGACTCTGGAAATCTACATATAGAATATTTGTAGTAGTTCCAGGAATCTAACACAGTGGTAGTGCAGACAGACCTGGAATCCCAGCTCTAAGCATCACCGCTCGGTGCTGGGCTGGGCTACATCACTGGTCTATAGAAAAACTTATCCTGACTCTGCCATTAAGGTCTGAATTCACACAGGAAAAATGCTTATCGAATAACATGGAGGCTCTGGGGACATCATGGAAGAAGGGGAGGAAAGATGTAAGAGCAGGAGGGTGGAGAGGAGTGCTGCGAATCCAATGTCTCATGGATATAACACGGATGTTTCACGCATGAACTGTGGCAACCTGAGCAAGACCTGCACTAGACTGAGCCCACAAACCTTCCGTTATGGGAGGCGAGGGTTTCAGAAGGGCTACCCATCTCTGGGAAGTTAATGTTGCTGACAGTGGGGAAAACTGGAAAAGAAATTGTAGTTCTCACTAGGGTAGCCACTGATAAGTTACCCTTGCTCAAATAATTAACCTCACCCCACGCTCATGCTGATAATGGGCCACACAGAAAAGACATGAAAGCAGGAGGGGGCTTGATAAGAAGGGTTCCATTTGGGAGGGAGAAAAGGATAAGAGAGGATAATGATGAGTAATACCAAAGCTTGTGTGTGCGTGTGTGTGTGTGTGTATAAAATGTGTGCGTGGAAGAACAAATAAAAACCACATAGACATTGCCATTGTTTCTCTATTGGTAAAGTTCAAATGATCGCAACCCACCCACAGGAGGTGAGACTGTAGAAAACACATGCTCTCACCCCGCAGTGCTGGAAACACAATCTTGATGGAAAATATCCTACCACTTCTCTCAAAATTTGAATTGATTCCACTGACTAACACACACTTGTGAACATAGACTTATGTGCATTTCTGTTGAGGTAACGAAATTAGTACCATGGCTGCCTATTAATACAGGAAGAGTTCATCCATATAAGGTGGACCAAAGCCTTGAAGAACAAAAGCTATGTGAGCTCTTAGCATTTAGTTCCTTCTCAGACTTTCAGGTGGGTAAATTAGGCTCAACTCAGCCTATGTGGACACTGATCACACCTTGAAGGGGGACTGAGATGCTAGGGAGAGATCGCCATGCATTCCGAATATTTACCCATATGCAAGTGTCTCTGTCCACAGTCACTCAAATCAAAACTCTAGGGGAAGAAAGAGCAGAAGGGGGAGGCTGATCCAGAAGCCGGGTGAGAAGGAACTATTATGTCTGTTTGGCTATGTTAATATTGCCCTGTGCTGTTGTGCTCAAGTTAGTGTACAGCTCTCCTAGGGAGTGAGGGGGATTTGGGGACAGATGCTCAAGTGGCCAATATAGATTCATTGGGGGGAAGACACTGTCTCCCCATAAGAGATCACTGTATCCAGAGTGAATCTAGTAGGGACAGAATTTGCCCTTTGATGAACAGGCCCTGCATCCCCCATCTAAAATATTTTTACTTACCTGAACCAACTCCTTTGTAGACTATCAGGGTTAGATTCCTTGGAGCATCTGAGAAAGGATGACACCATAGACCCATTAGTGGAAAGGTTAGACGGACACCCTTCCTCTGGCCTCAGGAGCTGCCTGGGTACGATGGTGGGGTCCACCTGGTTCCCTCAGGTCCCGCATCCATATTCAATAACTTGGTGTAAAGACCTTAATCTCATCCCCACTATCCTTTTGAGATTCTTCCCATCAAAGACACAGTGTCCCAGCCCAGCCTCACATGACACGTTGAGACGGATGGTCGTTCTTGTGGTCACACCAGCTCCAGGCAGGGTCACCTGACAAGTGAGGTTGGTGCCAAGGTCCTGGGGCTGAGGGGTGACAGTCAGAACTGAGGAACCAGTGGTGTTGGTGCTCAAGAGTGACACAGAGGAACCGGTCCAGGAGAAGGCGGGGGACCCACAGGCCCAAGGCGCAGAGCAGGTCAGTTGGCTGGGACGGCCAGCCTCCAGGGTCTCCGGGATAAAGATGTCAGGGGTGTTAGTGAGGTCTGGTGAGGAGAGGGGAGAAATGGAGGATCAGAATGGGGTGAGGTGCAGCTTCAGGGGAAGCCCCTGCTCTGATCCAGCTTCTCCCCTGAACCCCGATGCTCAGACCCACTGCTCCCAGGAGGGAGTCCTACCCCAGGCCTGCCCTGTGGCGCCCATGGCTTTCCCTGGTGGCTTCTCTGCAAGCCCCGCCTGACCTGTCACTTGCAGAGTCATCATGTTCTGCTTATAATTAAACCTCGCTTTTCCTCTCTCCAGGCGAAAGAAGTATGACCTCGCGTCGTCCTTGCTGGTCTCTCTGATGTACAGGGAACAGCTGTTCTTCCGTGGTTCTCCGAACAGGAAGAATCGGTCCTGGGTCGTATTCAGTGCTGGCCGCCCTGGGTTATTTGTGGCCACTGGAGGATCCTGATCTGTACTGGCTCCCTCCAGAAACCAGTATCCATGAACTGGGTCTGAGTCAGTCCATTCCTCTTTGCGGTAGGTGAACTTACAGGGTACCTGGATACACAGGCCCTCTTGCACCACCACGGTCTTTTCCACATCCAGGCTGTAACCCTTTGGGGCCTTAGGCCCACCCTCTACCTCCTTCATCCCCCAGAGCAGCAGCAGCAACAGCAGCAGCATGTCAAGCTGAAGCTGCAGGGCCACCACAAGTCTGACTCTCTGGGCTCTTCTCTGAGGAACTAAGAGATGCAAGACCTGGAGGAAGCCCCACCCGAAGCAGGGGTGAGGCCAGGACAGTGGCTGCTTTGAGAGGAGGAGCTTCAGACCCAGGCACTGCCTGGGCCACCCACCACCCAAGGCCACTTCAGGAACCCTAAGAACAACATGCTCCAAAATTATTCTCCCACCCTTCCTCCCGCACCCCTCATCATCCTTTCCAGTGGGTGATATTTTCTGCTCGGTGAAAATGGGTCCCCTTTGACCACACCCCAGAGCTTTCCTTGAGACTGTGAATATCGGAGGGAATTGGAAGCTGACAAACAGTGGGGTGGAGTGTGTGCAGTATTTTGAGTGTTCAGTGGAGGAAGTCCAAGACTCTGGGGACATGATGCTGGGCAGTACTGGAACAGGAGCGTACAGCTCTGGTGTTGTATTCTCAGAGACCTGGAGTGGAGACCCCCAGATCTCACATTAAATATCAAAGCTGGACTTGGGGGCATGCACCTGTCATCCTAGTTTTATGGTCAAAGTGAGGGACTCTGGGTTCAATGAGAGACTCTCTATAAAAAGCAGATGGTGGGAAGTCAAAGAGGAAGATACCTGAAGTCTCCCTCTGGCCTCCACATGCACAGGTCAGCAAACCCCACATGCAGGCCTCCACACATATATGTGAAAGCAAAGCAAGTATGGGTGCTACACACGTGGACATATACACAGGCATCTACACAATTACATACGTGCATATCCTTTCATATCATTCAGCCATCTCTCAATGGGTTGACTATGTGAAGTATTATATTCCCACAGTAAATTTGTCAACAAAACGATTTCCCTCCAATGATTACACACATAACCCGGTAACAACTTGTCTTACTCAGACTGAACATCCTTAATCCAGAAGTTTAAAATCTAAAATGCTTTAAAGTCTGGATCTTGTTGAGCAGATTCAGATTTTGGATTTCAAAATCAAATGTGCACCACACACACCTAGCTTATTTTCTTTAATTCTCTGGCTTATGGATGCTCTGCCTACACGTATGTCTGTGAAACATTTGTGTGCCTGGTGCCCCAGATGTCAGAAGAGGACATCAGAACTTCCTGTTACTGGACCTGTGTACGGTTGTATACCACAACTCTTTGGGTGCTAGGAACCAATCCTGGCACCTCAGCAAAAGCTCTTAACCTCTGAACTATCTTTCCAACCCCTAAAGATTTATTATTTTATTTATATGCATGTGTGTATGTGTGTCGTTGAATGTTATGTGTGTTGGTGGTGCCCTTGCAGGACAGAAGAGGATATCAGACCCCCACTAGAGCTGGAGTTATAGGCAGCTGTGAGCCACTCAATGTGGGTGCTGGGAATGGAACTCAGGTCCTAAAAACAGCGAGCACTCTTAACTGTAGAGCCATCTCTCCAGCCTTGACCCTGTGATGTCTGGATGTTATCATCACCATCCAAGTCCAAAACAAACGACGTAGGCTGGGTCTCACTGTGAAAAAAAAAATGGGTTTTTAAATTGTGATTGAAGGGCCAGGCATACATGCCTTTAATCCCAAAATTTAGCAGACAGAAGAAGACATGTCTCTGTGAGTTCAAGGTCAGTCTGATCTACATAGTGAGTTCCAGGACAGCCAGGGTTATGTATAGAAACCCTGTCCCCCAAAATATATATGTATCAGTCCACCAGAAGTACAAAGACAGAGTCCTATGTTAAATAACATAAGGTCCAGTTACACCAGCATCATTTGATGAAGATGCTTTCTTTTTTCTACTGTATAATTTTAGCTTCTCTGCCAAAAAAAATCATGTGTTCATATGTGTGTGAATTAATATTCAGATCTTTGATTCGATTCTATTGGTCCACCTGTCTGTTTTTAAGCCAATTCCAAGCTGTTTCATTACTGTAGCTCTATAATAGAGCTTGATGTCAGGGATGGTGATGCCTCTGAACGCTCCTTTATTGTACAGGATTATTTGACTATTCTGGGTTTTCTGTTTTTCCATATAAAGTTGATTATTGTTCTTTAGATTTCTGTGAAGAATTGTGTTGGGATTTTGATGGTGATTGTATTGAATCTGTAGATTGGTTTTGTTAGGATTGCTATTTTAATTATGTTGAGCCTACCTATCCAAGAGCATGGGAGATCTTTCTATTTCCTGATATTTTCTTCAGTTTCTTCCTTCAAAGACTTAAAGTTCTTGTTGTACAGATCTTTCATTTCTTTGGTTAGTGTTACCCCGAGATAGTTTTTGTTATATGTGGTTATTATAAAGGGTAATGTTTCTCTGATTTCTTTCTAAGCCTTTTCTTTTGTATAAAGGAGGGCTACTGATTTTTTTCAGTTGATCTTGCATCCTGCCACATTACTGAAGGTGTTTATCAGCTGCAGGAGTTTCCTGGTAGAATTTTTGGGGTCACTTATGTATACTATCATATCATCTGCAAATAAGAAAAGTTTGAGTTCTTCCTTTCCAATTTGTATCCCCTTGACCTCCTTTTGTTGTCTTATTGCTCTACCCAGAACTTCAAGAACTATGTTAAATAGATATGGAGAGAGTGGACAGCTTTGCTTTGTTTCTGATTTTAGTGGAATCGCTTTGAGTTTTTCTCCATTTAATTTGATGGTGACTGTTGGCTTGGCATATATTGTTTTTTATTATGTTTAGATATGTTCCTTGTGTCCCTGATCTTTCAAAGACCTTTATCATGAAGGGATGTTGGATTCTGCTGGAGGGTTTTTCAGCATCTAATGAGATGATTATATGTTTTTGTTTCAGTTTATTTATTTGGTGGATTACATTGACATATTTTTGTATGTTGAATATCACAGCATCTCTGGGATAAAGCCAACTTGATCATGGTTGATAATTTCTTTGATGTGCTCTTGGATTTGGTTTGCCAGTATTTTATTGAGCATTTGTGATTCAGTATTCATGAGGGAGACTGGTCTGTAATTCACTTTCTTAGTTGGGTCTTTGTGTGGTTTGGGTAACAGGGCAACTGTGGCCTCGTAGGAAGAGTTTGACAATGTTTGACTCTGTTTCTACTGTGTGGAACAATTTGAGAAGTATAGGTATTAGCTTTTATTTGAAGTTCTGGTAGAATTCTTCACTGAAACCATCCCGCTCTAGACTTTATTTGGTTGGGAGACTTTTGATGACTTCTTCTATTTTCTATTATAGGTCTATTTAAATGGTTCATCTGGACTTGATTTAATTTGGCATGTGGTACCTACCCAGAAAATTGTTCATTTCTTTTAGATTTTCCAATTTTGTGGATGTCAAAATGTAGAAGAATGCAAATAAATCCATAACTATCACCATGCACAAAACTCAAGTCAAATGGATCAAAGATCTCAACATAAATCCAGCCACACTGAATCTCATAGAAGAGGAAGTGGGAAGTGGGAAGTAGCTTTTGAATGCACTGACACAGAAGACCATATCCTAAATATAACTCCAGTAGCACAGACACTGAGAGCAACAATAAATAAATGGGACCCCCTGAAACTGAGAAGCTTCTGTAAGGTGAAGCACACAGTCAATAAGAAAAAGGGGCAACCTACAAAATGGGAAAAGATCTTCAGCAGTCCAATATTGGACAGAGGACTGATCTCCAAAATATATAAAGAAATCAAGAAACTAGACATCAAAATACCCAGAACAAGGAAAAGAGTCTCAGCTCAAAAGCACAGAAAATATTTTAACAAAAAAAGAAGAAAAGTTTCCTCACCTAAAGAAGGACATGTCCAAAAAGGTACAAGAAGCTTACAGATTCAAAATATATTGCACTAGAAAAGAAAATCACCTCACCACATAATAACCAAAACACTAAACTCACAGAACAAAGAGAATATTAAAAGCTTCAAAAGAAAAAGACCAAGAAACATATGAAGGCAAACCTATTAGAATTACATTTGAGGGACTGGAGAGATGGCTCAGCGGTTAAGAGCCCTGACTGCTCTTCCAGAGGTCCTGAGTTCAATTCTAGCAACCACATGGTGGCTCACAGCCATCTATAATGAGATCTGGCGCCCCCTTCTGGCACGCAGGCACACATCGAAGGAATGTTGTACACATAATAAAAAAATAAATAAATAAATTTATTTTTTAAAAAAAGAATTACATTTGACTTCTCAATGGAGACTCTAAAAGTCAGAAGGGTCTGGACAATGTGCTACAGACTCTAAGAGACCACAGATGAGATCCTATCTCAGACTACTACACCCGGCAAAAACACTCTCTCACCATGGATAGAGAAAACAAGAAATTTCATAATAAAGTCAAATTTAAACACTAGCTATCCATAAATTCAACCCTACAGAAGGAACTAGAAAGAAAACTCCAACATAAGGAGTTTTAATTACACCCACAAGAACACAAGCAATAAATAATCTCACACCAGCATAATCCAAAAAAGGAAAACACACACACAAAACCACCAACAATTGCTGCAACCAATTAACAGAAATTAACAATCATTGATATCTCTCAATACCAATGGGCTTAAATCCCCAACTTAAAAAAAAAAACACGAATTTGTATGTAAAAACAAGATCTGTCCTTCTGATGCATATAAGACACACTCAGCATCAAATATAGACATTAATTCAGAGTAAAAGGTTGGAAAATAGTTTTCTAAACAAATGGCCCCAAGAGGTAATCTGGCATAGTTATTCTTACATATACCAAAACAGACTTCAAACAAAACTTAATCAGAAAGATGGGGAAGGACACTTTGTACTCATCAAAGAAAAAAAAAAACCCATTAAGTTGACATTTCAATTCTCAACGTCTGTGCCCAAATGCAAGAATTTGTGAAAAAAGCATTACTAAAGCTTAAATCCACATTGACCCTAACACATTGATAGCAGGAGACTTCAATACCCCATTCTCATCAGTGGACAGGTCACCATACATAAACTAAACAGAAAAATAAATGAAATTAACAGATGCTATG